CTGGCCTGATGCCCATTGGAGACAGGCCCCTGGGCAGCCCCGCCCCTGCGGCCTGGTCTGACACCTGGTACCAGCTGGTCCTGGACGTGTCTGCTGCGCTGCTGGTCCGGCTGAGCCTCCCTCCAGGCAGAGCTGAGGGCTCTCTTCTTGTGTTCGTTGGAAGCACACTTCCTAGTTGCCATCGTAGCTGGCAGCTGCACAGGTAGCTGGAGCCACCCCAGGATGGAAGGAAGAGAAGGAAAGCCGGGGCAGCTCCGAGTGAGTCAGGACCCTTTGGAAAGAGGCTCGGAGAAGCGCCTGGTGTGGGAAGCTATTCTTCCAGCTGTCGCTCTCAGAGTCACTGCTGACGTCCTCATTTACTCAATTGGGACTTTTTCTTCTTTCTTAGCACTTCCATTCATTAACCTTAAAATTAAGAAAGTAAACTTTTTTTTTTTTTTTTTGCGGTACGCGGGCCTCTCACTGCTGTGGCCTCTCCTGCTGCGGAGCACAGGCTCCGGATACGCAGGCTCAGCGGCCATGGCTCACGGGCCCAGCCGCTCCGCAGCATGTGGGATCCTCCCGGACCGGGGCACGAACCCATGTCCCCTACATCGGCAGGCGGACTCTCAACCACTGTGCCACCAGGGAAGCCCCAGAAAGTAAACTTTTTATCGAAGCAGTTTACCTCAGTGAGTTGTACAGTGAATATTTCTGAGATAGTTGCCAAGCTTTCATGTGTCTCACTAGATGAATTTTATTGTTGTTAAATTTCAAACAGTTCTTCGCCGTGTCTGTCTTAGGGGATGGTGGAGTTGAATGTATCCTGACGCCAAAGACAGGATGCACAGGCACTGGCTCTGCCAGGAGCTCAGCCCTCAGAGGAGGTTGGGTCGTGCCATGACCCTAAAATCTCAGCATCGGCAGCAACAGAGGTTTGGTTTTTTCACCCACACTGCACGTCCGTCAAGGGCCGGCTGTGCCTCTGCTTCGTGTTGTCAGGGACCCAGGCGGATGGAGAGATCTCTGTCTGGGATTTTTCTGATTTCACGGGAGTGGGAAGAGAGCTGGATGACAAAGCACCAGCTCCTAAGCTCCTCTGCCCAGAAGTGGCATGTGTCACTTCTGCCCACGTGGGATTGGCTGAGCAAGGCCCGTGGTCAGGTCTGATGTCCATGCGGTGGAACAATATCATCTTCCTCGAAGAAGAGACAGAATATTTGAAAGTATAATACAGTCTTTCACAAGAGCTTTCCCAGAAGCTTCCAGTCAGGAAGGGACTCTTGTTCTAGTTGATTCTTGAGCTTACTTGGTGTTTTATGGGTTTGTGTGAGAGGCTCAGAAGGAACAGGTGGCATAATCCTCTCCATTGATCGTGTTTGGGCCTTCTTAAGCTGCTGGAGGGGAACCTGGCTGATGGCCTTGTATCTTGCGAACAAGCAACAATTCTTTCTGCCTCTGTGCAGAAGGGACAAGAAAGCCTGCAGTTGCTGTAAGAATGAACATCCGTGCTCCCCAGTGCTGGGGCAGGCTGCCCAGCTGTTAGATGAGACAGGAGTCCATCCCCTAAGGGTTATTTATTCTCAGAGTTGGGTCACTTAAACAGAGGGCATTTGCAGTCCCCCTCTATGACACCAGGGAGTTCATGAAGCAGGAGGTATCTTGATTTTTATGTGTAAGGTCTATAAGTTTTTCGTTTTCCACCCTGTGTTACTTTTGTCCATTAAAACTCTCTGCTTTCTTATTGATCCTGAAAATACTAGTGAGGCTCATGTAACACCTTATATTTTGCCAGAATTCATTATGAGTATGAAAAATACCTTCTGTTTAAAATTATGTAAAACAGTAACATTAAAAGGCATCTCTTGAAGCTCAAGTTGTAATTCCGCCTCAGCAAACCCGAAACCTTTGACACCCCACACAGTGCGTACAGGGCATAGGCATGTGGGCCCTGGCTAGCAGTATCTGTGCTGAGTCACACCTTTGTGCCCACCATGGAAGTTGGTTCTTCAGTCTCTCCTGTTGGACAGAAAGAGAAAGACACGTAAAGGAAGACTTGCCTCGTGCAGATTTTTAGATGATGACATTTGTAGAAAGAAAAGAAGTTATAAAATGTGTAAGTGGGGGACTTCCCTGGTGGTCCCAGTGGTTAAGAATCCACCTTCCAATGCAAGGGATGCAGGTTCGATCCCTGGTTGGGGAAATAAGATTCCACTTGCTGCGGGGCAACTACGTCCACGCCCCGAAACTACTGAGCCCGCGCGCTCTGGAGCCCACGCACCACAACTAGAGAGAAGCCCACAAGCCGTGACTAGAGAAGCCCGCGTGCCGCAGCAAAGGATCCCACATGTCACAATGAAGATCCCACATGACGCAAATAAAACCTGACACAGCCAAATAAATAAATCAATAATGTGTAAGTGGGCTTGAGAAATCTTAAAGAATGGATCATTTAGAAAATAGGACCAGACAGGTGGACTTGTTGTTCCTGGTTGCTGATGCCTCAGGACAGAGTATAAAAATGATCCCTCTAGAAATGTGTGCTCAGAAAGCAAATTGATTGGATACAGAGGAGTTGCAGTGGGCATCGAGGAAGACACATGTGACCGGCCAGGACTGGTGAATTAACAAACAAACTTGACAATGAGCGGCTCCTCAGCGAGTGATCAGACCCAGAAAAAAGAGGCTTGCCGAGGTGTTCTGGAGAGTGGAACCTTCACTTCTCTGGAGGGGCCACCAAGCAGCTGAAACCATCTCTGGGTTCAGTGGGAGAGAGAAGCATCTTGCAGAGGGGAGCCAAGCTGGGGTCAGGTAATAACTGGAATGCCTGAAATTACTTAGGGCTACTTGGTAAGTTCCTTGAGATTCCCTGACACTTGCAGTGGCCAAGGCCACCTGAGCACTTACTGAGTGGCCAGCTCAACTCTGGAGAAGGAGAATTCGGGAGAAGTAAAGGCCATGTGGTCAAACTTGCAGTTTCGAGAAGCCCCGTTTTGCCATTCGTAGAGTAGAGATGACTGAAAGCAAGAGCTGATTTTCGTTTGTGGTCCAGAAAAACTGCCAGGACCCCGGGAGAGGCAGGGTCGAGGTTCTGTCAACTCTGGCAAGTTGGATTCCACGTCCTGTCAGCCTGACATCTTGGGCATACAGATTAGCTTGGACCTTAGAAGAATTTTGCAGAAAAACGGCTGCAAGTGTACTTAATTTAGTGAATACTGTGCATGTCCATCCAGATGATAAAACATGACTTGCTCATTAGAGCAGACCTTTCTAAAGTGGGGGGATTTTCGAGCTCCGTTTTAAGTTGCACCTACAAATGTGAAGACTGCAGGAAGGCCCCAGAGCGGGGCTGTCACCCTCCACAGCCCGACTTGCTCTGCTGCGGGAGGGCCAGTGTTAGCAGCGCCCTTGGCCTCTGCTCGCTACATACAAGTAACACCCCTCCCCATTCCAAGCTGTGACAACCGAAGATGTCTCCAGACATTGCCAGGTGTCCCCTGCAAGGCGGGAGGGATGCAGTCGCCCCCGGTTGAGAAGCACAGCTTGAGGGTTTGCCCGTAGAGTCAGAGGTGGGATGGAGCGGAGGGGTTTATCCGTGAGGAAAGGGTACTGGCAATGAGCAGGAGGTGTTGAGCACATTGAGGCTGTAGCCTGAAGAACAGTGTAACTATTAGTGTACTTGGACCCTCCTTTTAAACGGAGTCAAGGTGTCTGCATTTCCATAGTCAGTGTAGTTCAGGGAGGGACCAGGACAAATGAGAGTTTGCAGAACTTCCTTTGGTAGCTTTTTTTTTTTTTTGCGGTACACGGGCCTCTCACTGTTGTGGCCTCTCCCATTGCGGAGCACAGGCTCCGGACGCACAGGCTCAGCGGCCATGGCTCACGGGCCTAGCCGCTCCGCGGCATGTAGGATCTTCCCTGACCGGGACATGACCCGTGTCCCCTGCATCGGCAGGCGGACTCTCAACCACTGCGCCACCAGGGAAGCCCGGTAGCTGATTTTTTTACAAAGATCGTGGAAGGTGGTGAGCTGCTCACGCCAGTGCTGTCTCTTCAGTTCTAACACCACTTGTGCTCCAAAGAGGAGGTCCCGATGGACTGGGGGCCCCGCACGCCGTCCTCTGAGGATTCCCGGATAACACGTGAGCGGAGGCGTAAGGGGGCGGCTGGTCTCCCTGCAGAGTCGCCTGTGCCTGTGACTTGCGTGGCTCTGCGAGCTGTGCCGGGGACAGCTGGTCTGGCTGTGTCCTGATGCGCTGGGCCACCCGTCGCCTGTCGGCCTTCTCTTCAGCCTCAGCGTCCGCTGCCCACGCCCCCTCCCTGCCCCAGCCCCAGGGAACGGCTCTGTGCAAGCAGACCGCACCCGTGTGAGACCTCCTCCCAGCGGACGGACTCTGAGAGTCCAGTGTGTAAAGAAGCTCCTGGGGGCTTGTTAAAAGCGCAGTTTCTGGCAGCACCTCCAGAAGGTTTGGTTCAGTGTGTGGGAACCAGGAACTTAGGCTGTTGGAAACAGGTGGCCCACATCCCCCTCTAGGAGCTGGGGGCGTCCAGGGACCGCACTCTTAGAAGTAGCACTCTAGGGGGTCTTTCCAGCTTCTGGAAGGCAAAAGCACATGAATTCTACCTTCCTAATCCTCTTATCCTTCCGGAGACGCTGGGCTGGAGGCCATGGTGGTGAGCCTTCGTGGGACTTGTGCATCTGAGGGAGGTGGTAATAATGAACACGGATATGGGCCAAGAAACTGCCCGTGGTGTGGGAGCAAAGTGCAGTCTGCTCCGAAGCGTATCGCTTGTTTGGGCCACATGGGTCAGTGTAGTAAATTTATTATTAATCACAAGAGTTCCTATTTTTTTAGTACTTACTGAATCACAAAGACTATGTAAAGTAAAATCCCTTTGGTGAAGGATTTCTTTAGCTTCCAGGATGGCCTCTCTCAAGACAGGGCGTCTTCACTGTGACATCAGAACGACCACCACCAAGTGCCCCCCGCCCCCCACCCCACCCCCCAGGCCCTGCCCAGAGCAGACTTCCTGCTCACTGCCTCACCAACATTTGGATTTTTTTTTAGGGCCAGAGAGGACCAGACAGACTGTTCTGTCTGTTTTTGTCTCTTTCTATATACACACACATACACTTATGCATATGTATGTATGTGTAAAGTTACTGATTCTGAGGTGTAGCCTCAATCATATTCCTCCCAAGTGTGATGCAGTAGGAATTACACAGCACCACCTACAAAGGATTCTCACCAAACATATTTAAGCTGAATCTAAACTAGCCTTTAAATTTAACCTCCAGTTTCTCTACAGTAGAGGATAGAGAACAAGTTTCAATGGCAACATGAGGAACTAGACAAATTGTGGGGTATCCTGTAAGACAACTAGCCTGGTATCTTCAAAAAAGGCAATGTCAGAGGAAAAAATGCAGGCAGCACGGGTAGATTAGGGACGGAAGGACTATTTTTGACTAAAAGAGACTAAAGACATAACGAGATGCAATGCATGAGCCTCGGCTGAGTCATGGTTTTAAAGAAACAGCTATAAAAATGGAGGCAGGGTAGGGAAGTTTGAGTGTGGACCCAGCTTTGGGATATTAGGGAATTATTGTCAGTTTTCTTGGGTGTGTTCATTTTACTGTGGTCACGAAGGAGAATGTCCTCATTTTTAGGAGGTGTATGCAAAAGTATTTAGGGGTGAAGTGTCAAGGCATCTGTGACTCATTTTCCGATGGTTCAGAGAAAAGATGTCTGCATATGAGTGTGAGTGTGAGTGTGTGTGCTGTGGATCTGCAGAACAGATACGGCAACACGTTAACCAGTGTTCCGTATGTGGTGTTCATTGTCCGTTCTCTTCACCTGATATCTATGCTTGCAGATTTTCTTAATGAAGTTGAAAAACAGAACCAAGGTGAGTAAGGTGGTGGTGGTCTTCAAAATGTGGTTTGCAGGGTCTCCTTCTCGGGCTTTGTTGCTGTTGCTGTTGCTGTGATGGTGGAGAGTGTGGGCGTTTGACGCAGCTATGATTGAAGTGCGCTCGGTCTGCCCCACCTTTGGAGAAGCTGTGACCTTTGTTCCCAGGCTTCGGTACTGTAATCTCCTAGTCAACTGATGCTGAGCGGTTCTGCCTCACGCGCATTCCCTTCCCTTTGCACTGACAGCACGAAGCTGCCAAGGAAAGGACCCCTTTCAGACCCCTTTCAGAGGTGTGAGCTCTGCTCACACCTCACCCTTCTTTTAAATATTAGGGCTCTCTGGAGAGCTATGTATGACGACTCCCATGGACCAACCGTTGGTCACTCCTCCTGGCTTTGTATTCTGACTGTGGTATATTACCCTAGGTTTCTGCAGGAGTCTCGTTTGTTTCGGTTTTTTTCCTTATTTCTTGCTAAGAGGCTTTCCTCTGTGGACCTTCGTGACAATCATAGCATCTTTTTCTGAAAGTCAGAGAGCTGTCCACATTATCCATCAGGGATGTGGTAGTAAAGCCAGGTGTCCTGGAGGGGATATGTGTTTAGTGGTCCACGGAGAGAAGATGTTTACATGGAATGTCAACAAGGGCCTGGTCTTACTACAGGATCTTTGGAGGAGTGGGAATCACAGTGAACAGCAGGGTGGTGCTAAGGAGCTCTGTGCTGAATCCCTGGGTTAACAAAATCTGTGACAGGGATCTGTCTTCCCATGATGTGGATGTTATCTCAGTACGTGACTTTCCCTGCACATCTGATATGACCAAACTGGGGCATTTTACCAGAGTACAGAGCACTGTAGAAGCCCCTTGCTGCACCTCCGGATTTTCCCCTGTCCCACCGACCCGAGGGCTTTTCTTGGATCCCGAGGAAAGCCAGTTTTTGTCAGTCAGCCTTGCATATCGTGGCTGTTCCTGTAATAGTAGTAATTAGCCGATTTGCTGGCAAGTCCAAAACATCTTATCTCCCTGTTGCAAACAGAAAAATGAAGGCGTCCTTCCAGCCGCTCTGGTGTGGATGTGAGAATCTGGTATAGTGGAGGGGGGGAATTGTTTTAGTACAGATGGACAGGGGACTCTACTTTCTGAATTTAAGCACAGGGGTCCCTAAATAATCCTGCCTCGAATTTGGCATGAACCATTTTGCTAATAAGCCTGAATGTGCCCTCTTCCCTTCTCCTGAAGTTCCACATCCTTTCTCTTTAGAAGTTGCAACCTAATGGCATCCCTGACTCTGAGGTGAGCTTGCTGACCAGAACAGTATACACTTGGCATATTCATTAAGATCCAAGTCACCTGAGAGGTTGTGGCAGAGTCTGAGGTTCTGCAAGAGGACGGCTATGTAGAGGTTTTCCATTCATATGGAAAAATTGCCATTAAACAGTAGAGGGGCAGCAGGGGCCCATCAGTAAACTGGCTTTCTCATCAGATGGGAAGATCTTGTAGAGCCTCATTCTCTCCTAACAAACAGACTCTCCACCTGTAGATTGAAAGTGTTTGTAAGCCTGGTGGGTGGGCCCAGCTTGCATGGGGTGGGGTGTCCTCCCGGGAGTCATCCTAGCTTGTTTCCTTGTTCTCATTTAGAATGATCACTTTCATTATACACAGTCTCCTCCAAAGCTCTTTTGTATTGGGAACGTTTTACTCAAAAGGCATTTCTCTTTGGAAATATTGGGGGGTGGGGGAGGTGAGAATGAGCGAGTGGGAGTAGGTTATACTTCTGGCCTAATGCTGATTTATTTTCCCCAGCTGAGCTTGTCAGCTGTGTTAGGCAGTAGGGAGACAGGAAGTAAGACCAGGACCTCACCCTCAAAGCCCACCAGGGAAGCTTTAGACATGAGTGACCTCATCCATCTCTAAATAGCCTCTGCCTGATCTTTTAACGGCCAAGTTTCTGTTATCCACGGTGCACTTCCGTCGGTTAAACATTTGTCTGACCAGGGTCATCCATGTTAGGGGAAAAGCTTCTGAGGCAATGGAGTTGATAGTTACTAAGCACCTCCTATGCCAGGCACTGTGCGAGGCACTTTCACAGCATGTTGCTTATTTCTCACAACAGTCTTGGGAGGCAGGGCACCCTTTCATTCTTCATGCGTCCATGAGGAAGCTGAAAGCTAAGGTTCTGACAAGTTAGATGTCAATATGGCCAGTCTGTGGTGGAGCTAGATTTGGAGCCCAGACTTGAACACCAAAACCCTTGCCTGCGGCATGCACAGTACCTCTCCCCTCCCCAGTGCCACACACACACACACACACACACACAACCGTGACAGTGAAGCTCCTCTGTTCCTAGCTTTGCGCTAGCTAATTTTGCGAAATAGCATCTTGTATAAGTGCAGCGATGTGAGGTTGTTAAGTACACTGTTCTATAAGGTAAGTAATCACCTCTAACTAGGACGTTAGCCAGCACGGTGGAGAAGCTTCGACACCCACTCCCTCCCTTCTTTCCCCACTTCCCTCCCTCTGCTGTAACTCCCCGCCCAACCATTGCCCACATGCCATGAGGCTCTTTGTAGTTCTTGGGGAGTTGACATGACCTCAGTTAATAAGATCATTCAGAACAGAGCCATGTGCCCAGATGTCAGACGTGAGCTGTGCGATTCTTCCTGACCTTGGTGGGCTGGCGGCGGGGGGAGGCGGGCAGTAAATGGGGCTGTGAGGAGCCCTGCGGCCCATTTCAGGGTTCGGGCCTCCCTGAAGGGGGTTTAAGCTGTTAGAGAGAGCCCTCTGGTAATGAAGCCATTTGTCCTTGGGAACAGCACGAGTCCTTGTGAGATGAGAAACAATGCGCATGTTGAGTTTCAGACCTGGGGTGAATCGAAGCTCAGGCAGAGAGGCACATGTGATGAATTGGGACAGTTCAAGGGACGCATTCTTCACAGGCAAGTCTGTGTTGTCAACAAGTCCCCTCAGTGGTAATGATACTTAGTCAATGGTCATTCATGCCTCTGTTTTGAATAATTTCCCCAAGTGAGTAAGTCATCAGTTCTTGGAGCTTTATTTTTCTTCTTTGCATTTTAACTTGTGTAGTTCATTTTGTCTAAAAATCACCTGGTGAGAAATGGATGAAAAAAATAAGTTTGGGTGGCAAAGTTTTATTATTTGTCATGGCGTTGTTTTCCTTTTTAAATTCTCATTTACCTCTGAAGCAAATACTCCCTCCTTTGTCTCTGCTAGTAATTTGATTCCCAGGAAATAAAGTTGGGTGTTACTACTCTCTACTGTTAAGCAAAAGGTTTTGAGGCAAGTTTTTCTAACTTAGCTCATCTAACACCAAAACAGCAGGCAGAGAGTCCTGTAAACTTTAAAAAAAACGCAGGCAGTCCGTTGATACAGTCACTGGCAGACACATCTTGATCTGTCTGGATCCCTGTGCTCTTGGACTTTTTCTAATAAGATATAATAGAGCAGGAGCCACGTCCCAAGAGCATGCAGCTGGGGCAGGAACCCCATGCGCAGCGTGCCCCCGGGTGGGTGCAGGGACTGGCATGGGCCCCTCTGTCGTGCTGCCGAGAGATAAGGGTAACCACAGACGCCTCTGAGAGCGCAGTGAGGGAGACCGACATCGCCGAGGACGGCGGCGTGTTGGCGGGGGCGCAGGATTCGCCGGGGCAAGGTTCTGTGGGCACGAGGGGCGCCGCCGGGCAGGGCTGCGCAGGGCGTGGGGCAGCTGTGCCGCGGGCGCGCACTGGGGTCTGAGCACCGGCCGGAGTGCGGGCGGCCGGGCGGGCAGGCGTCGGGGGCGGGGCCGGCGCCGCTAACCGCTCTCCTCCCCTCTCTCCCCCCGTAGGTGAGGCTTGCGGCCGCGCGGAGCTGAGACATGGCAGCATGACAGCCCCGGAGAGCGCTGCCCCACGACGCCGCCGGGACGAGGGAGCCCCCGAGCAGCGGCCACTGCCGGCCCGGAGCGCCTGAGCCTCCTTCCCGCGCCTTCCCCACCGCCCGCCGGGCTCGCCAGTCCAGTTCACCCCGTGGCCTCCCGACTCCTGACGTCTCGAACATCAATATGTGTCATGTCATTGTCACCTGTCGCTCGATGCTCTGGACCCTCCTGAGTATTGTGGTGGCGTTTGCCGAGCTCATTGCCTTCATGAGCGCAGACTGGCTGATTGGAAAAGCCAAGCCCCGCGGCAGCGCCGAGCCCGGCGAGCAGGGCGGAGGCTCCCTGGAGCCCCACCACCCCACGCTGGGCATCTACGCCCGCTGCATCCGGAACCCCGGCGTGCAGCACTTCCAGCGGGAGACGCTGTGCGGGCCCTACGCCGAGACCTTCGGAGAGATCGCCAGCGGCTTCTGGCAGGCCACCGCTATTTTCTTAGCCGTGGGCATCTTCATTCTCTGCATGGTGGCCCTGGTGTCCGTCTTCACCATGTGTGTGCAGAGCATCATGAAGAAAAGTATTTTCAACGTCTGCGGGCTGCTGCAAGGAATTGCAGGTAGGCGTGCGCGAAGGCGAGGGGGCCTGAGAGCCATGTGTGTGCTCGTGCGTGTGTGCAGCACCCTCACTGCTCATTCATTTGCTGCCACACTTGAGGAGGACGGTCTTCTGTCCGGTTCCAGGCAGCAGGTGCGCGCTGCCCTCATCGCTCCCTTTCTCTGTGTCACTCCCCTGAAGTGAAGGAAGTGTCTGTTCTCTGCTCTCACCTGCTCCTCTTCCTTGCTTATTTCCTCGGGTTCTAAGTTGCTGGGTTTTGTTTGAGTAACTACTCCTACTTTTTGCTTTTCCCATGAAATTACCAGCGTGCTTTCCGCGTCGTGCGTCCAGGGAAGAACTGCGGTGTGTGAGGCCCCCCTGCCGCGGGCCCTGTGTGCTGGGATGAGCGTGAGCGTGGGGCTGCCACCCACTCTCGGCCCCATCCCCGGCCCCCAGAATGATTTCAGCTTTCGCAGGCGAAGAGCTGGCTGGAAGGGAATTAGTATCAGCTGCTCTGTGTTTAATAATGTTCTGGTTTAAATTGTTTGTCTCCTGGAGACAGTTGTCAGAATGTTCTGTGCGCTCAGATCAGAAATTACAAACTAACTCTTCCACTTTCTGGGAGTTTCTCACTAATGAGCTTGTTAGAAATCAGTGGAAAGAAAAGTATGAGCACTTTACAGGGATCCCAGAGGGGAGGCCGTGAGCTCCAAGGAAACTTCCATGGCCGCCCGCATTTTCATAGGCTGTTCTATGTGGAGCTGAAAAGCAGATCTGGAACCAAGAGGGTATCAGTCTGTCCACGCTCAAGGGACTTGTTCTGAGCAGCAGACACACACACACACACACACACACACACGCACGCACGCACGCACGCACGCACGCACGCACCAGAGTTTGAAGACATCCTCAGGAAGCATAGGAATAGACTTCTTAGGGAAAAAATTCACTTTTTTTTTTTTTTTTTTTTTGCGGTACGCGGGCCTCCCACCGCTGTGGCCTCTCCCGCTGCGGGCACAGGCTCCGGACGCGCAGGCCCAGCGGCCATGGCTCACGGGCCCAGCCGCTCCGCGGCATGTGGGATCTTCCCAGACCGGGGCACGAACCCGCGTCCCCTGCATCAGCAGGCGGACTCTCAACCACTGCGCCACCAGGGAAGCCCCAAAATTCACTTTTTAAACAACCACAACCAAGGTATTTATTAATCTGAACTCTAACAGGAGAAATAGCAATCCACTTACAACCCTCACTGAAGGGCACATCCTGTAGCTGCGTTCACGGGGCTGCTGACAATGGAGATAAGCACTGAGCCTGGCATCCAGGCCTGTAAAGAAGCAGACCGCGAATGCATTAGCTCTTGCCTGCCTTATAGCAAACTCTTGAGCTCAGCAGGGCTGGCTTCCAAACAGGTCAAACAGCAGTTTTTTTCCCAAACAGCTGATAAGATGATGTTTTCTGTTTCTCAGACCTTAGGGGGCCCCATGTGTGTATGTGGGGGAGAGGGTAATGGGCCCAGAGAAATGACAGAGGACCTGCTTCACAGTCATGCTCTGTTTCAATGGGGGATATACTCGTGACAGATCTCAGGACCCCTCATCTCTTTATCTGCCGGGATCAACCGTACCATGAGACACCCAGGCACTCACAGGCACTCACGGAATTTGGGAGACCAGGATTCTGATTTTCAGCTTTGCTACTAACTTGCAGTTTCACTTGAGATAAATGCACCAATACTGTGGATCTTGGCATTCCTCTTCTGAAAGATAGGGAGATTGGAAAATATGATCCTGTCTTAGATTTTTGATTTTGTGAAGCTCATTGTCCCCCTTTTGATTCACTTCTCAAATCTGCAGTTCATCCCCTAAGCTTGGGTTTTCACTTCCGAGAGATGTTCATTAAGGTGGGTTTCCATCCTGGTTCATCTTTTTCTTGTCAGAAATGCCTCTCCTTTATCCCCCCAGGCACACAGTGCCTCGGGGGCATGTGCATCTCACAGCTTGCTGAGGAGTGTTACCAAAGTGTTACTAAAGCTTTTGAAAAGTCAAAATAAACATGTAGATGAAGGGAAGCCAGTTTACACAAATAATTAATCCTGTTGAGAGTCCTGGTTCACCAGAGAGGCGTAATTCTGCTCAGTTTGCCCTAACTATGTTTTATTTGCTTATCTTCGATGACTTCATGCCTTTATTATGAGTTTTGTCAATATGCTGGTATGCAGATGAGACTCCTGGTTTGTCATCCCTAGGAATGCTTTTCATCTTGAGAAACTTAGTGCTTTCCAGCAAAGGAATGGCCATTTACAGTAGGGTGGGACATCTTGGGCCATACCACCACAATCGGTCTTTTGCAATCAATTTGCAGAAAATTATAGATGTCTTTCAGTCTCAAAGACTGTTTACATGCAGTTTTTAATAAGGTGTTACTCCAGTGAATTTAGTCTCTAAGAATGTGGATTAGTCCAACAAGTCTTCTGGTGCTCTTGCTTGCTATTTCACATAAATGGCTAGAGTGTTCATTTTGGCACAAAGATGAGTACATATTTTAGGTATTATTCATACACTCCAGTGAGTTATTCTTGACTTTTCTCTTTCTCTCTGCCTCAGGCCTCTAGGAAGAAGGGCTGGGGAGAAGGGAGCAGTAGCACACCCAAGATGCTGGGCTGTTGGTCATCTGTCTCCCCAAAGTCTTGATTTTTCAAAAAGAAATTTTTCTCCCCATCCCCTTTCACTTATGTTCCCCATGCATACATATGGCATCTCAAAACGTCTGAAATTGCTAAAAGTTGGCCAGAGGCAGAGATTCCTGTACAGTCAGATTCTGCCTCTCTAGGGGGCCACTGATCTAAGGCTAAGAACTGAAATACAAGAAAGTGGATTCTCTTCACCTCCCAGCCCAGCAGCACCCCTGAGAAGAAATCATTGGAAGGATGGACTGAACGCTGGTCAGCTGGCTCCCTCATGTTGGGGAGGGGATGAGGGGCACATCTTTGAGGGCTCTCTCTCCGATAGTAGAGGTCTCCACCAGGCAGTTCAAGCCAGCATCAGTGGCAGCCGTGGCTCTTGAATCTATGGCTTAAGAGAGTTGCCCCCTGGGTGTCTGAAGCAGCTGGCTTGCTTTCTGTCCTCTTGGCCGGTCTCTAAGAGCATCTGGCCAGCCCCAAACAAGGACTTGCTGCAGCTGTGAGCATCAGTCTCTGCTCTCCCCACAACCCTGCTCTCAACTCTGGATCCGTTTGACATTGAAACAAACGGTGAGAAAGGAGACTGTTGCCAAAGCAATGAAAGGATCCTTCAGAAAGATACTCAGACTGTGTTTCTTCTTACAACTGGCATTGGCAAAAATGACATTTTTGTAAAATGTAACCGGGTGACACATTACAGGCTATCTAGTATGCCTTTACTATGCCTAATCTTAAAGGCCACAGGCTCGCATAGCTGTCACTGTCCATAGTATAACAAAAACCATCAGAATCTTAGTATTTTGATTTTAGAAGTCGGGTGTAAAAGAATCTGCTACCTCAGTGGAAATCTCAAAATTTGGCTTACTTAAAAAAAAATGAAAATACAACTATTGACCATTAAGCTAATTCAGATAGCAGGATTCGCCTTCAAGGCCTTACCTACTGGTGGGCACCCAGCTGACACTTCGGAAATGCTCATGTACAAATGCCCTGGCTGTTCAGTAGGCGCTCTCAGCAGCAGTTAGAGCTCAAACCTCATCTGGCCCTGGATCAGCCCCGACCTCACCTTAAAGTGTCTGTGAAATGTTCACCAGTCTGCGTCATCTCTAAGCCTCAGTTTTCTTACTTGGAAAACGGGTATAATAGTAGTACATACCTCAGGGTTGTTTCGAGGATTAAATTAGATAATGTATGAGAAAGGCTTTTAAGCACACATAGTAGATAGTAAGTGGTAGTAGCTATATGATGATTATTAAAGCATTTGTGCTTTCTTGGCAGGTGTTAGTACATTCTTTTGTGTTCCCTCCAATTGCTGCATTCTCAGGAGTAGAGTCTTTAGAACTGACCTTGTTCTGTCGAAACCAAATGTTAACTACATTGTGAAGTGCCATTCCTGGCCCCTTAATAGCCTGCCTTTGTTGGGACTGAAGAGCACAGAGCAGCCCTGTGGCTCCTACGGGCCTCTGGGTGTCCTCAGGCATTTTTTTAAAAGCTGAGTTGACAGGAAAACAAAGAGCTTCTTCCTCTCACTCCTCTTCCCCTGACCTGTACATTCTCCATCCTTTCCTTTCTGGAGGCAGCTTCTAGCGGTTGAGTCCTGATTGCAGGTGGCTTCTCAGGCTCCCCTTGCAGAATAAATCACAGGCTGATCGGTCTTCACTGGGTGAGGACTCGTCTGGGACTTGGTAGAGCCAGAAACACACATCAGTTCATAGCCCTCTGGGATTCATTACAAAAGCTGGGGAATCGGCCAGCAGGGTCGTTTTCACCAGCTGCCTTCCTTAGGCTGTGACCTGGATGTGGTCCACAGTGAAAGCGTAGAATGCAAAGATCCAGGTTTTCCATGACAGCATCAAGCAGTTTGGGTTTGGAAATGCACGTAGGGCCCTCTTAGAAGTCCGCGGAATCCCCAGTGACTCAGGTCTGGGACGGGGCCACGGCAGTGAGCTCAGGAGTTGGCCCACTGCTGCTGGCCCAGGCTGTTCCCCTGGGGTTGCCACGAGGCTTGGAATAGCGTGTGAGCTTCTGGCCTGGCTGCCTACTGTCCTCCAGTCCTGCCTCGCCGGCTCTGTGCTGCTTCGTGTCTGGTTGGCTCTCACGCTGTCTAGTCCCTGTAGCCCTCTGTCTGTCTACACCGCGTTCAGCCCAGCAGGATGGCCTCAGCGAGCTGCCCCACCAGTCTGATTGGATAGATCGCCATCCATGCTCACTGGCATCGCTCTCTGCAGCGGGGGCTCAGGGCCTGCTGTGCAGACTCAGTTTTCTTGGAAGTGAGCAATGATTGAGGGTGAAGGAGAACAATATGAAGAAAAGAAAGGGAAAGGAATAAAAGAAGGATCTTA